CAAAATAATCCTAAAATAGTAAATACATAAACAAAGATTAAATAATTAATATCTAATAAAAAAAATACATATAATAAAATACATAAAAAAAATAATATATAAAAATAAATAAAATATTAAATTATTAAATATATAAAATAAAATAATATAAAATAAAGTATATAAAATAATAAATAAATAAATATTAAAATTAATTTATATATATTATATATATATATATTTTTATATATATTTTTTTTTTAAATTTGTTTTATAAATATTATATTTTAATTAATTTATTTATTATATTTATACATTTATATATATTTTTCTTTATATTACTATTTTCTTATTGTATATTTATATTGTTTTAATTATCTTAAATATTTTAATTATATTTTGTTTTCGTAGTATTTTTATCATTTTAAGATATTTTTTAACATTATTTTTATGTCATCTCTTTTTCACATTTAACACATATTTTAAAATTATTTATATAATATTTTTCTGGGCATTAATTTTCTTCTATACATTAACCTTAGAAATATATTTTTTACATTCTTAACATTATTTATTATCTTTTTAGATAAAAGGAAACTCACATTATTATAAACATGTATTATTTTATAAAAATAATCCTTTTTAACATTAAAAGCATTTATTTTGATTACATTAATAGCAGTTTTTTGGACAAGTATTTTCTTATTATTAAATGATTTCTTCTTTGACTTTTTTTTTCTGATAATATATTATTTAATTTTAAGAATTAATAAATTAAATCAATACAAAAGAACTTAAATTTTCTTTTTTTTGCAAATAATAAACTTCCTTAAGCATGATTTTTTAACAAAAATCATTATTATTCTCACAATTTAAAGAAATCTTAAAATAATTTTAATCTAAATTAAAAACACAATTTTCTTCGTTTTATTATTAACAAAAACTGTTTTATTTTAAAAAAAGATTTTCAAAGGAAAAAACTAAATTAAATAAATAATTATTATCCTTCTTCTCCAAATAAATAAGATCTAAGTTAAATCTGACTTCCAATTTCTCAAAAAAGAGGGTTTTTTGATTTAAAAAGCCTTTAATTTCCAAAAAAGGGAATTTTTAAAATTCTAAAGGCTATATTTTGCCAAAATCAGTACAGAATCCTTCATTTATTAATTAATTTTTTATAGAAAAGCTTTAAAATTTAATTTATTTTTTTCCATTTTAAATGAAATCGTCAAAATATCCATTTTTTATACTTAAAATTTATATTTTTTATATTTTTTAATTATATTCTAATTCAATAAAAATTCTTATTTTTTATATATTATTATTATTATTATTTGGATAATATTAAATTTCATTTTTTTATTAAATTAAACTATTCCCTTTTTATATTTAAAAAAACATTTTTTAAGGAAACTCTATTTCTATATAATACACATGTTTAATATTCTATAATTCGATTTCAATTATTAAATCAGTTTACCCAAAATTAACTCTTTAACTACTTTCTAATTTCAAAATATCGATTTTTCCCGTTTTTTTACTAGGTAAAATTACTTAATTTCCCCTTTAGACCTCATAAAATTCATCGAAATAGACTTTTATATCAATTTAATCATCTTAATCATCCAAAAAACCTTCATTTATATAATTTTTGATAACAAAATGGTAAAAAAGACATCCATCCTTGCAAGAAAGTACTTAAAAAGTAATTTTTTTTTCTTAATTTATTTAAATTTAGTTATTTTTGTCTATATTGAATTCCCATATTTCCCCGTTTTATAAAAATCCGGCTGAAAGTTCTATTTAAATCCAATAAAAATTAAAAATTTTGTACTCGAAGTTCATTTTTAATTCCAAATTACATTTTTGCCCGACTTCAGAAACGTCTCTTTTTACCTCAAAAAATTTCAAAGGAAATCCTTCAAGTTTTTCCTAAAAAGGCTTTTTTAAAAAAAACATTAAAAAATCTTCATTTTAAATAAACTATTTTATCTCGAAATTTCCAGTTTCCTTATTGATTTTAGGATTTCTAAAATTTCCTAATTTCAAAATTAAATTTTACGGACTTTCGTATATTTCGGAAGTAGAATTATTTAAAACTCTTATTTTTTTATTTTCTATATCCAATTCACAATATAAATTAACTCCCTATTTAATTTAACTACTACAATATCCTTAAGGAGACTCCGAAACACTAATATCATCTGGATATTTAACCTCTATGTATGTTTAAGTAGGTAAAAAAGGCAATAAGAGTGGAAAAGTTAATTAAAAAGTAGTTATTTCGGTAGTTCTTTTTGATAGAGATGTTATTTATAAAGACTAATTATCTTAAATAGGGATACATGGCATATTATATACATTTGTAATATTCTAAAAAGACATAATATAGTAATTTGAGGAATATAAAGTCGTAATATAGGGTATATAAGTATTATTTTGAACTAAAGGTGCAATTTAATTTCTCAGATTAAAAACTGAAAAATAAATAAAAACATCCTAATTAAGAAAACTACACTATAAGTCAACTTCACTACTACATATTTGTAAAACTTAAATATTAAATTAAAAAAAGCCCTAAAAATTTTCATATAATGTACTTTCGAATTTCACATTAATTTTTTCCTTTAAAAGATTTTCGTTAAAATCAACTAAATTTGCCTACATAAAAACCTCCTCGAAAAAATGCACAAAAAAAACAGGAAATTTTATCTAAATCAAAAATTCATTTTTTAAACATAAATTTAGTCAGTTTAAATTTTCCTTACAAAACCATCTTTTATTCCCCACAAAATCCTTTTTTTCCCAATCCGATATTTAAAAACTCTAATTTTTAAGCTTTTGGACTTAATATATTTAAAACTAGGCTGTTTGAAGATATTTAGTATGTGTTTTTCTACATAGGGTCTTTTACTTCGATTTTTAAAGACCTTCTATCCTTCTAAATATATGCAGGCATCTAAATACCTTCCTTTATTACAATATTATACATAAAAATGCCTTCACATTAGTTTTCTCTTATATATTAGTACAAAATTCATCCAGAACTACCCATCCATCTTCCCATATACATTTAATGTTTAAACTTAAGTCTCCATTTTCACATTGGAGTTTATTTTAATCCACAAAAACCTATTCTATGGGCAAAAAAATTCTTATTTTAGAACCTTTTTCGTATTTTTTGGATGAAAAAAACATTATTTTTAAACTAAAAAATTCCAAAACTTCCAAGTCTTCTTTTTATTCGAAAATCTAAACCTCTTATATATTAAAAGGCGGAAAAAAAAGACTACCTTTCAAATCTAAAAGTCTACTCTATCTAATTATATTATTCGGGGAAAACTCAGAAACCAGTCTTCCTTAAAAGGGCTAACTTTTCAAAGAAAAAAAAGGGTTTAAAAAATCCGAAATGACAAACTCTAAATTCCTCGGACTTTAAAATGCATTTAAAACATTATTATTGAACCTAATAATAATTTTCCTTTAAGAAACTAAAGGCTAAAATTTGCAGCTTAGGCTCTAAACCATGCAATAAGTCCTCTAAGAATCGAAATATAAAGTAAATTCACTTGGGTATTCCAGTTCGAAATACAGGAAAGAAAAAGAAGACGTCTATACGGTATCAAAAGAGAAATAATACTCCGAAAGTTCTTAAATATTCATATTTTTTGGCTATATATTGTTAATTTTAATTTATGGAAGTTCAGTAATATTCACTGCTAAGTAATTTGGGTCCATTTAGGAGAAAAAAGTCGTATCTTACCAAAGAATATCTTCATTTAAAATCTAAATTATTGTCCCAGTATATATTCCTATCTTTTATTAAGGATTATTAACTCCTTGAATTATCAATTAAAAGCTATTTAAATCTCCCTTTATAAAAAAATCCTGGATTTCTAAAGTATCGAATTCCACTCTTCTAAAAGTCAATTATTAATCATTTTTAAATACTTTTATTTAAGAGCTTTCTTAAGGGAAACTACATCCATTACATAATCTGACTCTAATTTGGGAACTTTACGGTGTTTTAATATCTGGTTTTAAATTAAATTTATACTCTACGTTCGGTTCTGATAATGACTGACTGCTTATTTCTAATTAGGCTTAAAGTTTACCTATTTAAAACAATAAAATGGCATTTTAAATCTTTTCTGAGCCTAAAAAGGATACATATTTCTCATCTAGTATGTCAATGGAATAAATTTGGGTTAAAGGAGGGTTTGGATTTGTGAAATCGGGAATTGATAATAATACTACTTCTTAATCTTATAAAATTGTGTAAATACATATGTAGGATTATTGATTGCAATTACCTATTATTTTATATGTTATAATATAAGTATATTATTTTTACCTTTAATAAAATTATCAGTATAATCTTATGTTGGTATTTATATATTAAATGGTGATTAAAATTATAGTATTAATTTATAATTTTTTAATATACGAAATGGTTTCTTTTTTTTTTTTTTTTTAAATTAATTATTTTTTTTACATTAAATATTATTTCTATTTTAAAACTATTATTGTATGTGTAAGTATTATCACTTGTATAAGCTAAAATTCCAGTAAATAGTTTTTATTAAGATTATATTAAAGTTATTATTTATGAAAGAATATATAATATATATAAAAATTACATTTTTTTTAAAAAAAAAAATTAAAAAATGTATTTTTTTTTTTTTTTAAATAAATTTAAAAATTTATTTTTTTTAAAAAAAAAATATATATTAGAGTTATTTTTTATAAATAAATAATAATTATTATGTATTATATATTTTTATTATTTATATTAAAAAAAAAAAATATCTATTTTATATTAAAAAAAGCATCTTATTATTAATATATATTTAATTAAAATAATTAATTTAAATAAAAACAATATGATAAAATCAATAACTTTAAATATCCAAATATTTATTATTATTTTTATAAAAATAAAATAAATATAAACCTGATTTCTATAATTCTATTAAAATGATTATTATATTTAATATATTATTCTTTTTTATTTTTTTGTATATAAAAAAGACAACAACAAAAAACATTATATATAAAAATAATAATATATCATTATAATATCTTCTTAAAAAATTCAGTAGTTTTTTCCAATGCCTTTTAAGCAATATCAGCATCATAATTTTCACTATCTTAATTCATAAAAGCATGCTTTCCGTTTTCCCAAATTCTTAAAAATATAAATTATATATAAAAATATTTTTATATAAATATATATATATATACATCAATTCAAATTATAGACCATCTTATTGCGCTTATTTTTCTACATTTCTAGCTGAATCTGGATCAGAGAATCCTTTTGAATTATCTAAAGACCCAAAATGTGCTTAAATTGGAGCTTTCATATTTTAAACAGGAAATTTATTAAGATCTGGTATTCCGTAAAAAGGTGCGCCTGCATCAAATACATTAGACGAGGCCAAAGCTGCAAAAGCAAGAGCTCCACCTAAACAAAATCCAGTAATAGCTACTTTTTTACATCCTAAATTTTATTTGAGGTGATTTCCGGCTGCTATAATATCATTTAAAGCAGAAGACCAGTCCAAATCTTAGAAATAATGGCCAGCTTATTCTCTATTTTTGGCCACTTTTCCCCTATAAACATCCGGAACTAGTACTTTGAATCCTTTTTAAGCGAATTTATCAGCTGTTTTACATATCGATTAATTATGTCCCCACCATTCTTATATTAGAATTATTCCTAAATGAGTTTCTTATTAAGCTTATGTTAAATATCCCTATCCATCTTCCTTTCCTTCTACTTTAAATGTGTAGTTTCTTGTCCCTGATTCAGTTATTGCTTAAGAAAGATTATCCATTATTTTTATACAAAAAAAGATATGTTTATATATATTAATTTTTTTTTATTATAAAAAAATAAAAAATGTTTTATAAATTTTTTTTTTTTTTATATATAATATAATTTATATTTTTTTCATTTAATATTTATTTCTTATGTATTCTTAAATTATTAGTATTTATCCTAGAATTATTATTTCCATAAATTCATGAACTTTTTTACACTACATATTTATTAGAAACCATTATAAATTTAATCTTTTGCAGTTTATGTAAGATATTATCCTTAATAGGATGGAGTCATTTATATATTTGGCTATTTTTTTTATTAATAAAATTATATTTTTATTAATAATTTACTAAAATTTTATTATTTTCATATATAGGAAATTCGAATTTTTTATAAGAAAGTTTATTATTTGTATCAGAAAGAAATGGCATATAACTCGAAAAAGGAGAAATTCTTTAACTTTTTTTTTATTTAAAAAAATAATAATAATTTTTAAAAATACTCTCTAAATTATTAATTAATCTAAGGATTATTCTATTTATTACAGTAATCATTTTAATAACTAGTTTTTCCTGTAAAAGGTATTAATTTATTAGTTGTTAATAATTAATCTTAAAGAACTCTTTAAGAATGTGGAATTCCATAATTTATAAATATATAAATATATAAATATATAAATATATAAATATATAAATATATATTATAAATATATATTATTATTAATATATTTTATATTTTAAATTACTTTATAAGAACTTAAATCTATCATAGGTTTATCAAATTTTACATATTATTATTTTTCTTTAATTGGATTTTTACTATTATTTATATTGTTAAATTGAATATAATCTCTCTTGTTAAATATTTTTTTTTTTTATTAATTTTTTATTTTTTTACACAATAATTAGACTCATTTTCAACCATTTAATTTCCAATTTTTTTTTCTTCTCTTATTTTATCTGTTATATTAGAACATTCATTATAATTATTTGGAATTTAATGTTTTTTATAATCCCTACAATAAGTACTATTATTAAATTAAGTTTTTAATTTATAAAAAACTTAACATTTACATAAACCACAATTACACTTTATACATGCACATTATCTAATTAAATGCATAAAATAATCAATATTCTCTTCAAAAATATATTTTAAATTCGAAGCTTTTATATTTTCATTTCCTGTAAACTAAGCTAAGGATTACCAATCTCCATATTAAATATATTCTAAAATATACGGATCTATTTATTCTTAATCAAAGCAATTTTCTTTAAATTTAGTTTGTGTTTAAAATAGGCTTTATGTTTATTATAATTAACTATATAAAAATATAAATTTTTTCTAATATAAAATTAATAATTTATCAAAAAATATAAATATTAATTTAATATATAATATTTTTTTATATTAGAACATTCATTATAATTATTTGGAATTTAATGTTTTTTATAATCCCTACAATAAGTACTATTATTAAATTAAGTTTTTAATTTATAAAAAACTTAACATTTACATAAACCACAATTACACTTTATACATGCACATTATCTAATTAAATGCATAAAATAATCAATATTCTCTTCAAAAATATATTTTAAATTCGAAGCTTTTATATTTTCATTTCCTGTAAACTAAGCTAAGGATTACCAATCTCCATATTAAATATATTCTAAAATATACGGATCTATTTATTCTTAATCAAAGCAATTTTCTTTAAATTTAGTTTGTGTTTAAAATAGGCTTTATGTTTATTATAATTAACTATATAAAAATATAAATTTTTTCTAATATAAAATTAATAATTTTTCAAAAAATATAAATATTAATTTAATATATAATATTTTTTTTGTTAATTAAATAAAAAAATACTCTTTTTTATTATTTAGTTCTACTGGTTTTTCTTATTACTATATTAAATTTTATTCTAAAATCTTTTTTATTTGAATATTTTATATATTTTCATTTTATTTCTTTTCTTCTTATGCTTTTATACTTTATTATTATTACGATTTTGTAAAAATAGATTTTTTTTTCATTACAAAGCTTTATGATCTTTATAAATTATTTTTTTTAGTAGTTTATAATTTTTAATTTTCCTTAAAAAAATTCTCTTCAGTAACCATTTTTGAAAATTTCTTTATTTTTTCTCCATCTAATAATTATTTATTTTTTTAAATACTTTATTTTTCTATTTATTCTTCTAAAAATTTCTTAGGATATATTTTTTATAAATTAATCTTTTAACTATATGTTTATAAATATGGATTTTTTTCGGTTTATTAAATTTCTTTTGACATTTATTCTTAATTAGGAAATGTTTTTTAACTTATTTTCATATATAAGTTACCTTGATAAAGATATAATGTATTTTTTTATTTTTGTTTTTGATATATTTTTACTTAATTCTTAATTTTTTGTTTGATTTTAATACATTTATTTTATTTGTTTAAATTAATATTATTATTATATTTTTTTATAAAATTTTATTTTAATATGTAATAAAAAATTTAACTTGAAAATAAAAATTAATATTTTTTTTTTAATTATTATTATAATATTTTTGTCTGAATTAATAAAAAGAATGTTTTCTAATAAAAATCTTAAAATATAAAAGATAAAAAATAAATTTATTAATAGTATTATTTAAAATATTATTTTTTATAATAAATATATAACAAACACAATAATTATTTTAAATAAAAATTTAATATGTTTATCAAATTTTATTTTTTAATAAAAACAATATTTATTTTCTAATTAAACAATAACAAATATATTTTTTTTAAAAGAAAAAAAAAAAAAAAACATACTAAATATAAGAAATTATAAAGTATTAATAATAATATTCTATTGTCTAATAAAAAATAAATTTTTTAATAAAATAAAAAAATATAATAAAGAATATACTTAATAAATATATATATGTATATATTTTAATTATATTTATATATTTTTATAAATATAACTAAAATAAAAATTAATAAAAAAAAAAAAAAAAACTAAATATGTAATTAATATATATTATTATTATTATTATTATTTAAATTCAAATCTATCAAAAAGCAGTTTCTTATTTGATATTATCATGTAATCTTCCAGAGTCTCTTTCTACATGTTCACTTATTTCTCTTTTCCATTAATTATCGATTTGTCCATTATCTAAATTATCTTCAATTCTTTCTCTCAATTCAGATCCCATATTAGCAACTTTTTCACTAAAGATTTAAATAACTTCATCTATAATTATATTTTCATCATTTCTTCTATTAGTATTTTTCAAATAATTATTATGTTTATTTTCACAGTCACCTACAATATTAGATAATAAAGCAACACTAGCAGAATGAGTTTCAATAGATTTATCTTCATGAGCTTTAGCAGATTATAATGAAATAACTAATTTTTCTAAATAAGTATTTTTTCTTTATTCTTCTTCATCTAATTATTTTAATTCTTATTCACTTAATTATAACCATACAGCTAAATCCCAAGCACTTCTAATTTCATTTTCAGTTAAATTTTTTATAGATTATCTTAAATGTTCTTATAATTTATCTAATAAGTCAACTAATTTATCACCTAATTTGGCTTTCAAGTCTCTTTCTTAAGTTCCAACCTCTCCTTTTTCTAATTACAATTCACCTTTATTATTATCATCAGCTCTAGGGTCCCATTCAGCAGTACTAGATTCAACGGATTCTATATAAATATATATATATATATATATAATATAAATAAAAAATTAATATATTAAAAATAATATTTTACCTCTGGAAAGTTAATTGAATTCTTCAATAGCTTATTCATTAAATAAATGAGAATATTATCTAAGTTTATCAGTTACAGATGATAATTGAGCTAATTCAGTGACTTATTCTCCTTATCCATTATTAGAAGTATAAGGTGCCAAATCTTATTTTAATAATTCGATAATTTTAATAGCATCATCATGTTCTTTTAAAGATTTTACAAAGAAAGCATTTGATGCACATCTTTAAGATTCTAGTTCTTCTCTTCTTTTGTTAATAGTGTTTCTTCTATTGTTTATGAAATCTAAATAATCATTTGTATCTTAAATTTCCTATTCGATGAATTTTCTATGTGAAATTGCGTCGTCTAATACTTATTTATTTTAAGTTACAATTTCAGTTTATGCGGCAATATTTACAGCACATTCAGCTTATTATTCCTTATCTAATTAATCAGCAGCCTCTTAAGCATCTACATTAGCTTATTTTAAATCTTTTAAAACTGATGAAGCAGTGTCAAGTGCATCAGCAGATTTAGATTGTAATTAGACTAAAGAATTTAGTAGTGTTTAGTTTACAATTGCGTTTGTAAAAGCTAATGATAGAATTAATAATAATATTAATGATTTCATTTATTTTTTTTTATGTATTTTTATTTTTCTTATTTTTCTTTTTATTATTTTTTTTTTTTTTTTGTATTAAAGTTAAAAAAAAAATATTAATATCAATTGTATTAGAAAAATAAATAAAATAATAATTAAAATAAGTATTTATTTTATGCGTTTTTTATTGATATTATTTCGTTTTTAAATTTAAATATATGTAATTAGTACGTTTTTAAAGTTTTTTTTTTTTCTTTAAAAAACTAAAATAACAAAAACTATTAAAAACAAGAAAAAAATATAAAGAATAATATAAATAAATAATTCTATTTTTTTTATATTGTTTTAATAAAAGTACTTTTTATTTTATTTTCAATTCATAAAACCAAAAAAAATAATAATTAATAAATTTCAAAAAAGAAACAAAAAAAAAATAAACAAATAAATCAAAAAAAAAAAAATAATAATGAACAAAACAGCTTTTTTCATTGCTCTCTTTATTATACTCACTTCTGCTATTAAATTGGAATAAGTTAATACTTAACTTAAATAGGTAAAAATTATTAAAAAAATAAATAAATATATTATAAAAAAAAAGATTGAAAAGACTAAATTCGGTAAAAACCTTCTTGATATGATCTAATTATCATTAACTACATCTGAGCATATAGATGATTTAGTATTCGAATTAAAAAACTTAGACAATGACCTCGTCAAGGAATAAAGCGATGACGATTCTGAAAATAAAAGAATAGGAGCTGAATGCGAAGAAGAAGTAGCTCGTTTAACATAAGAAATTTCAGAAGCTAAATAAAAATCATCTGAATTATAATCTGAAATAAATGCTAAAACACCAGTTTAATTATAGAAATAAATTTTATTAAAGGAAAATGAATCATAAAAAGTTGAATATTAAAAAAGTATTGTAGATTTAGATGCTTTCAAGGAAGAAGTGGATAAATTATGGGCTACTGTATAAGATGATCATTAAAAAGCTACTTATACAATATAAAGGTAAAAATAAAATAAAAATAGATATATAGTAATATAAGTCTAAAAAAATTTTATAAATATAAATGAAAATAAAATAATAAATATATATATATAGATAATATATATATATATATATAATATATATATATTATATATTATTATTATCTATTTATCTATTAATTTACATATAAATATTCATATAATTTATTATTAAATATTTTATTTTTTTATTTCAGAGCAAAAGATGTTATAGTTGGAGAATTCTAAAAAGGATCAGCTTTCTTATAACGTAAAGATATCAATTTCGTATAACTTTCTAAACATTTCAGTGATTCCGCTAGACATAATAATTTCTAAAAGAAATCATGGAATAAACTTTTTAAAGTACTTTCATAAATAACAGCTTCTGCCCCTGTTTAAGCTGATTCTGGTGCTATTTAAAAAATTGTTGAATTATGTGACGAACTCTTATCTAAATTAGACGAATCTCTATTATAAGAAAGATAAAATTATAATCACTAAGTTGCTGTTTATCATGATGAAAGAGAAGCCGCAGTTTAACATTTATAAGAAACATAACTTCACATTGATAACCTAACTGCCGAAATACATACTTTAAAAAGCAGAATTGAATAATGTGAAAATGAAAAAACCTCCTAAGACGAAAGAGCTGTTGAAAAGGAAGAAGAATTAAGCAAGAGAAACATATATTGCTTTGATTAATAAGAATAATACAAATTGAGATCTTAATAAAGGTAATTTTTTTTTATATATATATAAAAAAAAAAAAATTATTATAGAGATGAATAATTGAAAATCGTAAGAGAAGTTTTGGATATTATTAATTCTCAATTAAGAGTACTTAAGAAATACGTTGGTGATAGAACCGATTGATTTTCTATTTTTAAATCAAAATAATAGTGAATAATATTAATATATTAATTATATTTTCTTTTTTTTAGTATATATAGTTTTTTTTTTTAAATCTACAATTTTTTTTTTTTTTTTCTTTTAAAATTTTTAATCGATTATATATATATATTTATACTAATCTGATCTGATTCTTAATTATACAGTTTGTAATAGTATATTTTAATTTTTTACTAAATTTTAAACATATTTATAGTTTTTTTAGAATATAATATTACTTATAATAATACTATTCATAAGTTCTTTAATTCTCATTATAAAAAAAAACCAGTTTTTTATTAATTAAATATATATAAAAAGGAAATATTATATATTTTTTAACGAAAATAAAATTTATAAAAACAAATTAATAAAGAAAAATGGTTTTTTAAAAAAATATAAATTTAAATTAATATATATATATATATATTAAAAATATATTATTTTTATAAATATTTAATTATTATTATAAATATTTAGGAAAATAATAATTAAAATAAAATTTTTAATTTTAATAATATATTAAATTAAAATCATATTTTAATATTTTTTTATAATATAAAAAAATGAATAAAACAAGAAAATAATAAATTAATAATTTAAAAAAAAAAAAAAAAACTGAAATTTAAATAATTTTTAAAGCAATAATACTACAGAAAAAAACAAAATCATAAAAAACATATATATATATAACAAAACAAAACAAAACAAAAAAACAACTAAAACTAAAATTATTGTTATTTTTTTTTTTCTTTTATTCTTAATATATCTTCAAAATAAAAAATTGTTCAAAAAACTTCTCTAAATACTTTAGGATGTTAAAAGTTTACAGTTCCCTTAACATGTACTTCTTCATGAGGTTATTCAGGTTATCTTTTAGTAGAAATTTTCTTACCAGATTTATTTCCTTCTTATTTTCTTTTATCATTTTCTTAATATCTTTTAGCTAAAGCAATTCTAACATTAGAAGGTCTAATATGTTCGATTTTTACATTAATTCTTTTTTCAATATATCTGCCGTTCCATTTTCTGTGTACAATAACGCCAACTGATCTAGGGTTAACATTAAATACACGTCCAGTTCTTCCGTGATATAATTTGTATGGCATACCTTTGTGGGCTGAACCATCAACAAGAATATCTACATATTCTCCTATCTTGTATGTGGTAAGATATCTGGAAATTCTTAAATGTCCTTTTGTCTTGAAAGCTTTTGCGAATTTTTTTCTGGTTTGTCTTCTATAACCGTAGCTGTGTGTCATTTTTTTTTTTTTTTCTTTTTTTTTTTATTTAGATTTTTTTTTTTTTTAATTTATTCTTTATTTTTTTTAATCTTTTTTTTTTTTATGATTTAAATTAATTATTTAGTTTTTTTACATGATTTTAATACTAAATAAATTGTATTTTTTTTTATTTTTGCAATAATTATAGAATCATAAGTTATTAAATTAATAAATAAAATTAAAGATAGAAATATTTTTAAAAAAGTATATAAATTTAATTTCATATTATACTTTAATATACAATAAATTAATATATTTTTTTATTTTATTTTTAGATAATATTCAATAAATAGCCTTAATATAAATAAATAATCATTAAGACTAACTAAATATACATAATATTATAATATATTTTCAAAAAGAAATTATATAATTAATAATTATAGTGTATTTAATAATAATAATAATAATAATTGTTTATTTAATAATACTTTTCTTTTATTATTAAAAGAAATAAAAGTAAAATTAAGACAGAGAGTTAATAAAAAAATATATAAAAATAAATTAATACAAATAAAAAAGATTCATAAAAAAATATATATATATAAATAATTAAAAATTTAATACTATATGTCAAGACATACTAAATTAAATTAAATTACAAAAGAAGGTTTTGAAGAGCATTTTGCATCCGAGAATGAAAGCGAAGATTTAAATATAGGTAGCAAAAATAATTAAAAGAATAAATAATATATAATATATAAAGAGGAGGAAGAAATAATCGAGGAATTTATTCAAATGTTCGATAGGAAATTTAAAAAAAAAGAAATATTAAAAGTACTCGATTAAAATGACTGGAATGAAGATGATGCTACACACTAATTAGAGGAAATGTTGAAAAAAAAGAACAATTATAATAAAAAAAAAATCAACTACCAAAAAAAGAAATAGAAGATAAAAAATTATAATAAACTGGAAATATATTAGTAAAAAAAGGATAAAATCAATAAATCTAACAATAATATTAATAGTATAACGAAACTAATAATAATTAAAAATAAAATAATTAAAATAATATTCAATAATAATAATTAACTTTATAATAAAAGCAATCTACTAATAGCATAAATGAAAAAAACTGTAAAATAGGCGAAACAATATATATAGAAAGAAATTTAAATTTATACAATAGTACATATGATCCTATCAACTATAAATTAGAATTAAATAAAGTATAAAAATATATCAAAAAACAAATCAACAAAAAATAATAAATATAAAAAGGATTTATAAAATTTGAATCTTATCATAATAGGGCATGTAGATTCAGGAAAAAGTACTTTAATAGGTCATCTATGTTACCTTAAAGGACTTATAGATTCAAAATAAGCTCACAAAAATGAAAAAGAATCAAAAAATATAGGTAAAGAATCATTTAAATATGCATGGGCAAATGACGAATTTGATGCTGAAAGATAACGAGGTGTAACTATAGATATCGGTTTTAAAGTTTTATATACGAAAAATAAAATAATAACATTTTTGGATGCACCTGGACATAAAGATTTTGTTCCAAACATGATTTAAGGAGCTACGCAAGTAAAAATATATAATATATAAAGATATATATATATATATATATATATATATTTTTATAAATATATATTTATATTTACATTTATATTATATTATTAAAAATTATTAATAAGGCCGATTATGCATTACTAGTAGTAGATGGTTTTCCAAATAGCTTTATGAGTGGTTTTGATTTAGGTGGATAAACTAAAGAACATGCTTATTTAGTTAGATCTCTAGGAGTAGTAAGAATAATAGTTGTTATTAATAAAATGGATTTGACAGATTGGAATGAAAATGATTATAATTATGTATGTACATTATTAAATGATTTTTTGGTTAAAATTGATTTTGATAAAAAAAACATAATTTTTGTTCCCATTTCTGCATTTTAAGGCGAAAATATTGTATAAAAAACAAATCTTAAATAAGCATCTTGGTATAATGGATTATGTTTAATGGATTTATTAGATTAATTATAAGTTCCTGATAGAAATATAAATACTCCTTTAAGAATGAATATTTACAATACTTATTTCTAAAAAAATAAAGGGCTTTTTATATCTGGAAAAATAGAAGGAGGTGTTATATTTGAAAAATCTAAGGCTTTAATAATGCCATAAGGATTAGTAGTATTTGCAAAAGGTTTAAATATAAAAAATAAATAAAACTAATATAAATTTTATTAGATATTTATAAAGATAATATAAAATCTGAATATGCTTATGTAGGAGATAATATAGAATTAGTAATTTAAATTAAAGAATAATAGTAAGAAATAAGGTAAATAAATAGATAACTATATGTATATAAATATTAATAAATATATATATATATATATACATATTTATATTTATTTCATTTATATTTTATTTATTAATATTAAATGAATTTTTAAATTTTTAATATACTTTATTAAAAAATAGATCTGGAAATGTTTTGTGCTCTATTGAATATCCTATTCCAACTACTAATCTTATTGATGCTGAGTTTGTTGCTTTCGAGCTAATTTATCCAATTTTGAAAGGAGCTTAAGTAATTGTTTATATAAATACTGCAAAAAGTCCTGGATTTATTAAGAAAGTCTATAATTTAATTGATAAGAATTCAGGAGATATTTTAAAGAAAAATCCGAAGTATATTTATTTAAATTTTTTTATTTAAATATTTAATAGATGTATAAGAAGTCATGATTGTGCACAAATATAAATTAGCATTGAAAAAAGTTTATGTGCCGAACTATATAGTAATTATAGGGCTTATGGTAGGGTTATTATTAGGGAATAAATGAATACTTTGGGTGTAGGAATGATTACAAAAATATATTGATAATTTCTTTATTATTTAATCATTTGAATAAATAAAATATATTATATGTTATATATTTTTTTTAATTTATATATAAATATTATTTTTAAATTATAATTAAAAACTTTATTTTACGACAAATAATTAATTTTATTTTATTTTTTAATTAATAATATAATATATATTAAATTTTGGTTTAAAATTTTTTTTTTTTTTTTTAATAAAGATTATAATTATAATAATATATTAAATATTTTATAATTAAATTTTTTTATTATAAAATTTATATCCTAAAAAACAAGATATTAATAAAAGTATATAATATGTACTTAATAATTATTATAATTTATAATAAAAAATGTAATTTAAGTATTTAAGAAAAAAAAAAAAAGTTTTTTAAATAATGATTATAAGTTTTATTAATTTTATAACACTTTTTTATATTAGAATTTAATCTTAATATTTCTTTTATAAATATCATAAGTCTAATAGATTAAAATAAAATAAAAATTAAATTTATTTTTTATTTTAAATAAAAATTAAATTAATATTATATAATATCCTAATTCAGTGATAAAAATTATTTATTTGTTTTTAAAAACGTTAATATTTTTAAAACATTAAGGTTTATATAATTATCAATAAATAATAAATTATGAAAATAAATGTTAATAAAAAAATATATAAAAGTATAATAAAGTTTTAATAAAAATATTTGAATTTGTTTTCTTTTTTATATTTAATATTATAAATAATATATAAATAGTATTAAAATTATGTCATATTACATAGTCTAAAAATAAAAAAATATATTTTTATTTTAATTAAATTAAAATAAAAAAATTATAATTAATTTAATTATATTTCATAGTATTATTTTATATATTTTTATTATTTTATACTTTTTATATAAATTTAGCATATCATTAGATTTAATAATATTGTTTTATATTACTTTACACTTTTTATATAGATTTAGTATATAATACTTGATCCTATGTATTTTTATTTGTTCTCTAATATTTATTTAAAAACTCAATCAACAAATAAAAACGTTTTTATCCATTTTTTTTCGACTTTTTTTTTGTCAATTAAGTTTTTAATAGAAATTACATGAAAATTTCAAAAAAAAAATATATATAATTAGGTATATTTATAAAACTATTAAATTATTAGCATTTTTATAATTAATTTAGATCAATATTTTTAATAAAAAGAAAATGAAAAAAAATAACTTATATAAAATATTAAGATAAATATAAATGTTTATCAAAATTCTTTTGCTATTTATTACTTTTTATTATAAAAAAAATTGTTTTTTTATTTTTTTATCTTTTAAGTTGTATACTATTTAAACAATTATAAAAATTATTATAAAATATAGACAAATGTCTATAATCTATATTATCTTTAATTATTAATATCGTATCATTATTAAAAGATTTTATTTTATATTTAGTATTTATTATAAATAATTTTTACTTTTAATTAGTAAATAATATTTAATTTGTGAATATTTTAAAAATATTTTTTGAAATATTTATAATAATAATATTTAAATTTTTTTTTACCTATCTTTTAATATTTCTAAAAAAAAAAAAAACACTATTACATATTAATATAATATGCTATAACATTTTAGTTATTTTAATTATAAAAAACGTCAAAAGATAATAATAAGTCATTTTTTTTTTTACTTAATAAAAAATTTATTATTTTAAAAATTGTTATAATTCAGAATGTATATGATTTCCTAATAAACATAATTATAATTAAAAAAAATATATTCAATTATAAAAAAAATAATATAAATCAACATAAAAAATAACAACATAAAGCAATATACTAATTAAAAGAATGATTTAATATTAATAAGAAAAAGAAATCAAAGTTTAATTTAAAATGCATTATAAAACAAACTACAATTTTGCAGTTTATATAGTTGGAAATATTTTTGAGTTAGGAGAATGGGATTTATTAAAATCTATACGTTTATAATGGAACAAGGCATAAATATTAATATATATAAATCATATTTTATTTAGAATTTTTAAAATAATTAAATAGAATAATTATTGGACAACTGAAATACTCTTACCTAAAGCAAAATTTGATTACAAATTTTACGTTGCTGAGTTTTTTAATAAGGATTAATAAGTAAGATGGGAATAGGGGCCAAACAGATCTATAAATTTGACTTAGTATTATAAGCAAAACTTGAATTTAAGTAAAAAAAAAAAAAATTAATTTTATTTAAAACTATTTTTTTTTTAAATTAATAAAATTAAAAAATAAATTAATATATTTTAATAAAGGTGATGTTTGGGAACACAAAAAAGTTATTCTTAGGCTTCTCATAAGCAATTCTTGTGAAAATTATAAAAATAAAAAATATTAACTTATTGGTGATTAATAATCGCTTGGAAATATGTAAACTCCTTAAAAAATGAATAAATATGAATACTAATATAATTAAAAATCTATAAAATATTGGGAAAAATCTTTTATTGTTAAATCTAGTATCCAAAGTATTAAATATAAATATATCTCAATTACTAATAAGGAAAAAAATTGGGAAAGAAATTTTAGAAAAATGAACTTTTCGAAAAATGATGTTGATTTTTAAGGAGCTTTTTGTATATTCGATTCTTAAGAAAATGATTTGCTTTAATTTGATTAAATTAACGAGAATATTTTTATTGGTTATTAATTATTAAATTTTAATATTAATATATAATAAATTAAGCAAAATATATAAATATATATACATATATATATATATATATATATATATATTTATTTTAATATAAATAGGCCCTTACCCATAAAACAAATCTTAAATTAAATAATTATATTAAATTGGTGTTAAAGCTGTATTGAATTTATAAACTTACTAAGATATGCATTCTCATCATATAAACTTTGAAAATATAAAATAATCCTGTAATGAACATAATATGAAACATATTCATTTTTCCAATTGTCGATATGAATATTTATGATATGGCTTAAAAATTAGAAAATGCTGCTAGTTTTTTAAATAATGCAATTAATATGTACTAAGTAATAAATTTAAAATAATTATATTTTTATTTAATTTTTAAAAAATAGAAATATATATTCATTGTACACAAGGAATATATAGATCTACATATGTTGTTATCGGATATTTAAATTTATATAAACTCTATGATTTCAAATAAGCTATATAATTAATAAAATAAAAAAGACATATATCTATAAAAAATATTGACTATTTTCAATAAATAAATTAACTAAGATAAAATTAAAATGATAAAAAATAATTTAGCTAATATAAAAAAGATTAAATTAATATATAAAAAACATATCAATGTATGTACAGTTAATTTGAAGATAATAATAACCTTTAAATTAGTATAATGTAAATGTGAGAAAAAAAACCAATGAAACATTATTATTTAATTTCGAAAAATTTTAGAATTTTTTCATGCAATTAAAAATATATTAATATATGATGAGATGAAAAATAAAATTAATATCAACAAAAAATTTTAATAAAAAATATATATGTAAATTAACATTTTTTTTAAATATTAAATAAATATTTTTTTTTTTTAAATAAAATAAAATATTTTTATACTTTTTATTTTCAATTTAAATAAATATTTAATGTATATATATATATATAAAAATCATCTTTTTTTATTTTTTTTCTTATTTATATTTTATTCATTATTATTTTTCTAATTGTTTTGATATTATTGTTTTTATTATTAATCTTTTTTATTTTAATCATCATTTTCTTCAAGGTTTTTATCTTATTATTCATTTATTACTTGTTAATCTGCATTTGCTATTTCTTATAAATTTTATACATCTTATTTATTTTATTCTTCTTCATTTTAATTTGTTTCTTCATTTTAATGTTCTTCTTCTTTTTTTGTTCTTAATCTTATACTTCTTACACTTTTTATACTTATTACACTTTTTATAATTGTTACTCTTCTTATTCTTCTTGCACTTCTTATTCTTCTTGCACTTCTTATTCTTCTTATATTTCTTATGTTTCTTATACTTTTTATATTTATTATATTTCTTATATTTATTATACTTCTTATTATTTTTCTTATTAAACTTCTTATTATACTTCTTATTCAACTACTTATTCAACTTCTTACTCAACTTCTTACTCAACTTCTTATTTTACTTCTTATTCAACTTCTTATTTTACTTCTTATTATACTTCTTATTATACTTCTTATTCAACTTCTTATTTAGCTTCTTATTATACTTCTTATTTTACTTCTTATTCAACTTGTTATTCAACTTATTATTCAATTTATTATTCAACTTGCTATTCAACTTGCTATTCAACTTGTTATTCAACTTGTTATTCAACTTATTCAACTTCTTATTATACATCTTATTATACATTTTATTATTCTTCTTATTAAACATCTTATTATACTTCTTATTTAACTTCTTACTCAACTTCTTATTATACTTCTTATTTTACTTCTTATTCAACTTCTTACTCAACTTCTTATTTTACTTCTTATTCAACTTCTTATTTTACTTCTTATTTTACTTCTTATTATACTTCTTATTCAACTTCTTATTTAGCTTCTTATTATACTTCTTCTTATAACACTTATTTTTTTCGTGTTCGTGTTAAACTTCTTCTTATTATTTCAATTATTAATTTATATTTATTTAGTTTGAAATTTCTTTTTCTTAAAAATTATTTAATTATTATTCTTCTTCATTTTTTTATTAATTTAATTCTTGTAATTTTTCATTATTTTATTAACTTACATTTTCGTTTTTTTATTAATCATTTTCTTGTTTTTATTAATTTTTTTCTTCAACTGGATTATAATTATTTTCTAATTACAATTCTTATTTTTTTTTCCTTAATATTCTTAATTTGAATCTTATTTTGATTTCTAATCATTTTCTAAGTTATCAATCGATTTATTAATTAATTATTATTATATTTATTGATGGTCTTCTTATTTAATATTTTAATGTATTTATACATTCTCATTTTCTGAATGTTTTTTAAAGTTTCTTAAACTTATTAAGATTTTTAAAATTCTAAATTGTTCTAATCCTCATTTATTTATAGATGGTTATTTTCATTTATATTATTCATTTATTTTTAATTATATTATATAATATCATTATCCTAAAAAGCAGGAACTGAAGTAGAAGATTTTTTTTAACTATTATTAATTTCTTAGTTATTTATTTATACTTCTTTATTAATTTAATCATTATAAATTTATTTTTATTATTTACATTATTATTATTATTCTTCTTTATTCTAAGTATTATTTTGTTGTTAATCATAATTATTTTAAATTTTATTATCTTCATAATAACTACCTTATTCTTTTTATCTTATTATGTTTTTATTATTGAGATTATCGTATTCTAATTGTGAATTCAATTTAGATGATCCTTATATACATAAATTTCCCATTTCTTTTTTATTTAGATATTTTTTACAAATATATTAATTAAAAATATATTTATTTAATTATTTATATTATATACACGTAAATAAAACTTTAATATTTCACAGATTTAATAATATTAAATTTAAATAATAATTTATTAATATAAAATAATAATATATTTAATGTATGAATTATTGTTTTACTTGAAATTATTATTTATATTTAATTAAAAATATGTATTTATAATTATTAAAATTATATTAATTAAAATATTATTATTTTAAAATCTAAATTTATCAATAAAGATAAATATGTTAAAAAAGTATATAATTATCATTATTAATAAATAAATTTATATTGGTAATATTTTAATTTATGTATTAATATCAAAATTTTTTATAATAAAATTAGTCTTACATTAATCAAATATTAAATTAAAGATTTTTTGTTTTTTAAACTTTTAATTCTATTATTGATTTGTTTATTTTACATAAAATTTAAATATACTTAATAATTTAGATTAAAAATAAAAATATAGTTTGATTTTAAAATTTAATTTAATACATTTTTATAATCTCATTAACTTTAATTTTTTAAATTAATTGTAATAAAAGATTTTTAAAACTTTAAACTAATTTTTTAATTAATATTATTAATCTATAATATATAAAAAAATTAATAATAAAAAATGCATATACAATTAATAATTATAATTTATTTTATAGTGTAAAAGTTATTTATATTTTTATTTTATAATGTTTTATATTATTTCATCAACCAAATTTATTTAATAATATTTATTATAATATATTTAAAATTCTGTATATATATTTAAAAAGTTTCCAAAAATTTATTTATATTTAATTACTTTTTATAATTAATAATTTATCATATGATTTTATTTTTAATAAAATATATTTATTTATTTCATATATTATAGCGCATATAATCTTTTTATTTAGTAAAAAAGTTTTAAAACATAAATTTACATTTTTCTGATAATTTTTAAATAAATAAATTATTTAAATTAATTCCATTTAAATTAAATGAAAAATATTAAAAATAATTATTAATTATTTTTTAAAAATAAATAAATATAATTAAATTAATATTTTCTTTTATAATATTTTTATATTAGAAATATATATAAATATATAATAATTTTTTATAAAAACTTAATAATTAAAAAATTATATAATTATCAAAAAAAGAGTAATTCTTAAAATATTTAAAATCTTTAATAAAATAAATAAAAATATAACACAAATATATTTATAATTAAAAACAAAACAAAAATTATATTTATAAAACAAAACAAAAAATCTTTAAAAAAATAAAAAAATCAACAAATAAATGAGTTCAAGAGAAGAAATGGCAAGAGCTGTAAAAAATCAATTTTAAAATTACAAAAATCTTTTTTTCAATAAAAGGTTTTAGAATAAGAAAGAGATATGATTGGTGCAGCACAAAAAGCTAAAGCATATGACAACTCTATTTTATTTTTAAAGAGAAATATAGCTAAAGGATAAATATCTCTTAAAGAATTAAATTCAGTATAATAAAATTAAAAAGCATACAGACCATTAGGAAGAGCGTAAAATATTAATTAAAAAATATAAGAATAAATTAAAATGAAAAAGGTTTATATTAAGAAATAAAGAAGATATATAAACTGAACTAGAAGGGATAATTAAGAATAATGAAACCGATATTAAAGATTATGAAGTTAAAATAAATATATTTAATAATTAAAAAAACTAAAAAAAAAAAAAATAGAAAAACAGAGCCCATTTAATTAAAAAAAGAGATGAATTAGAAAAGTTAGTTAAAGAAGGAGTTGAGAAAATAAAATAAATGTAATAATGAATATTTATTTGAAATTAGTAAATTAAAATTCTTATAAAAAAATAATATTTAAATACATATAATTAAATCAAAAATAAATTTTAATAAAAATTTAAAAAATTTAAAATTATATTTTAAAAAAATAATCAAGAAAAAAAAATTGACATATTTAATGTTATTTAATAAAAAATGAAATAATTTTTTTAATAATAAAAAAAAATAATAGTTAAATTAAGTTTAATTTTTGTAAAATAAAATATTATTTTAATTTATATTTATATGTATACAATTATTTATATTTGTTTTGAAAAATATAATTATTATTATATATGATTAAACATAATATTGCTATAAATTCAAATTTTTTTTAACTTACATAAAAAGTTACAAAAAATGATCAATAAAAAATAAAGTCTATTAAATATATTACTAAATATTAAAAATAAATCTCCAAAAGAACTTGAAAAAAATACCAAATATTACCGCAGATAAATATAATTATATAAAATTAAAGAAATAAACGAAATAATATAAACATTACATTAAATATTTTTAAATTAATAAGATGAAAGTATATTAGTTGGATCTCTTTTTTTTGTCAAATTATGTATAAAATTAAAAAATAAAGACTTTATAATAAATATAATAGAAAATATACTTCCTTTGTTAATCCAAAAAATGCAAAAAAATATCAAATTCACAAACTTATTACTCGAATGTATTTATGTTTGGTCTATACAATGGCCAAATACTGCTTTTTATACTGCATATAATACAATTAAAAGTTAATAAATATACTAATTTCCCTAAAAGCTTTAATTCTTTTTAAAAAAAGAATTATAAGTAAGCGAACTACTTTCAGATTAGTCATCAATCGATGATACCGGAGATGTGGAGAATAATAATATATTAATACAAAAAGATATTTCAAGTAAAAATTTAAAAGAAGTTGTTCAGAAATTAGATTTTACAAAATATATTTAGGAATATAAAACAAAAAAAAACTTTTTTATTTTCGAAAAAAGTGATAATGGATATATATATAAGCAAAAGTTATAATAAATTATATAAATTAACAAAGAAAGAGATATTTATAAAAGTCTTTATGAATAAACATTGAATTAAATTATTTTAACAAAGTAGAAAATTTAATATTTATAATGTAAATAAAAGAAATGATTTTTTTTGTAAAATTTAAACATAATTTAAAAAATTAAAATAAAATAAAAACATTTAAATTATATAATAAACAAAATAAAAAAACCTATAAAAAAAAAAAAACAAACAAAATTCAATTATCCTTAAATTTTGAAAAATTATAAGAATTATTATTATCATCACATTTAGATGGTGAATGCTTCATTTATCTTTCAAAATTAAGTTTATTAAGTGAATCGGAAAGAGGTGAATTTTCTTCAGATACATCTTATTCATCTCCATCATAATCAGCCTTAACTTCTTCACGAAATCCTCCCTTTAAACTATTTTTAAGTGCTAATTTATGTAGATTATGACTATCATTTTATCTGTTCTATACACTTTTTGGACTTTCGATATTCATATTTTTTTATAAATCACCATCAATAGTATCAACTCTATTCTTTGAAAATAAAGATGCATTAGGAGTAAAAGGCTCATTTTTTTAAAGATTTGGATTAGAACATAAACTTAGACTTCCTATAGTATCCGTGAGTCCATTTATTGCTGGAATTCCATTTGAATGTAAAGCCATAGAGCCCAATTAGTCTTATGAATCTTAATTTTATACATTTTTATTTCTAACTCCTGCCAAATAATCTACTTCATAATTTCTCAAATTAGCAGTAGAAATTTAATTTTAGTTATTTTTTTATTATTGAGATAAAAAAGGATGGGATAAGCATTCTGTTGCAGAAAATCTTTTAAATGGTGAAGGTTCTAACATTTTCATTAATAAATCTTAAGCTATTAAAGAAATTTTTTCGAAATCTTACGTATTAAATTTAATATCACAAGCTTTATTAGCGCGAAGTATTTATTTATAGTCTTTACCACTAAATGGCTGTTTTCCAATTAATAATAAATAGAAAATAACTCCAGCTGAAAATATATCACATTTAGCATCATAAAATTAATCTCCATCCTTATATTATATAAGCATATATATGTGTTTAAATTATATATAAATACATAATATTTAATAAAATAAATTTATAATTAAATAATTATTAAATATAATAAATTAAGAAAAATATATATATATATATATATATATATATATATATATATATATATATATACTTATAATATAATACTTGAAATGTTAAAACTTCAGGAGCAACAAATCCAGGTGTTCCACATCTTTTAAAAAGAATCTCTTTTATGTTTGTAAAAGTAGCTAGTCCAAAATCAGCTACAATAATATCATGATTATTTTCTTAACTTTTTAAAAGTAAATTTTCAGGTTTAAGATCTCTATGCATTATATTTTTCGAATGCAAATATTATAAAGCTAATAATAATTTTTTCATTAATTCTCTAATATCATCTTCTCCAATACTTCCTTTATCCTTAACTCTATTTAAAAGTTCACCTCCATTAAGTATATCTACAACAAAATAAATTGAATTCGTCGTTTCGTATACTTCATAAAGGTTTATTAAATGTTCATTACTTAAATTTCTCATTACACTGATTTCGTTTATTAATGACTCTTTTCCTTTATGTTAACTTGACATGAATTCTTTATTAAAAGCCTTTATTGCGTATTGAACATTATTTTCTTTTTTACTTGCTAAATAGACTTTTGCAAAAGAACCTTTACCTATCATTTTTGTTACAATAAAATCTTCATGAAAGCTTGATTAAATGGCTTTATATACAAAAATATCCTTCCATTTCTTCCATAACTATGAATCTTTTGTATATATTTCTAGTACTTTACCGTTTCTCGTTAATTTAAAGCCAAAAAGGGGATCCTATCCTGTAGAATCAATAGGATTTGATTCCAAATTCTAATATAAATCTAAACGACAACATAAAAGTTAAAGGGTACCTTAAATTTTATCCGTTTTATCATTCTTGGAAAAATAAAGATAATTCTCATCTATTAAATATTAACGTGGTTTTAATTTTCCATTCTTTTTGGTACGTTTCAAAAATATTGCTTTTAGCAAATAATTTATTTAATTTGGTTTTTCTTGGTCTTTTGTAGGCTTAGTCCATATTTTTTTAAAGGTTTTTATACTTCGTCATCGAAAAATGATACAGGCTTCATTTTTTAAATGTTAATTTTTTTAAATGTTATACTTTTAAAATTTATATAATTATAATAATTTTTTTTTAAATTGTCATAAAATTATAAAAATATAAGTAATAAAATAATATTAGAAAAAAAATAAAAAAATCTTTTAGGCATGTTGCTTTTATAATGTATATAAAAGTAAATATATATAATGAATGCAATATTATATATATCTCTTATATAAATTGAAATATGTTTTTAATTAAATTATTTCATTTCAATTTCCAAAAAAATTTTAAATAGCAAATATTAGATTTTCTTAATAGATTTATGTTTACTAATTTTTGCTTGATGCTTCTACAAGAAAATTTCTATTAAACAATTTAAAAATATTAAATATAAAAAAATAATAAAATTTATAATATTATAAGAAATTATTTAAAATTTAAAACATATAATTCATTTGATTTAAATATATTTATAATATTATTTACTTAAAATTTTTGCAAATTTCTTTCATTTCTTCGTAATTTTTACATTCAAATTTAAAATATAATTACTCATTAATAGATCCCTTAGAATAAAATACAAATTAATTATAACAAAAAAAATATATAAATATATTATTCAAAATATATATATATATATATATATATTTATATTTTTATATATATATATATTTATATGTTTATATAATTTTTTTTTTATATTTATATATTTATTTACTCTATAACCTAACTTAAATGTTGGGTTATTTTTTGAAGGAATTATATCTGTAATATCTGATGCCATTAATATTATAATAGTGAATGCAGATTCAAGCTAAATCATATATTTTCCGAATAAATTTTTTCTTAATATTATTTAGAAATTTATTTTTATATTATTTTCATCAATTTTTATTAAATTAAAAACTTTTAATCTATCATTTATTTAACAAATCTTAAAAAAATATATATTTTTAATATGAAGAAAATAGTTTTTAATAAACCAATTATTTATAATTTTCTTCTTATGTTTTATTTTTATTTTCCAAGTTATTAATATTTTCTTTTAAAATTTTATTTTAGCTATCTAATATACTATAATTAGATTTTAATTTTTTATATTTTCTCATTAAAATTTCGTATTCTTTTTTATAAATATTATTTTCTTTTTCTTATTCTACAAATTTTTAAGTCATTAATTATTTTTAACTTTTTTTAACAAAAAAATAAAAACATTTATTTTATTAAAATTATACCTTTTATGCTAAGGCTATAATTTTAAATTTTTTATTTCTTTATCTAATCTAAGAATAGTTTCATTTAATTTATTCATTGATTTTGGTGGATCATCAATTTTATTGATTCCGCATTAAAATTTTGCAAATCCTGATGCTAGCATTTATTAAACTCCTATAAAATTGCATATATTAGGAGAATTTTTACGATTTATAGTAAATGATGCAGTAAATGAACGCTAAGACAATATTTTTGTTTTATTTTAATTTTATACTTAAACTGTTGTTTATTACTTTAATTATTTTTTTTCTTTTTATTCACGTAATTATTATTTAAATTAATTCTTTATATCTTATTATAATGTAAAAGATCTATTATTTTTTGAAAATTCTTCTCTTTTTGAATTAAATTATTTGTCCACTATTTCTTTTGATTAAAACATATTTTTTTTTTTATTTATAATAAAAATTTAATATATAGAAAAATAATAAAAAATAAAAAAAAAAATTCCAATTATAATAATTTTTAATATAAAATAAATAATAAAAATTGTATTATAAATTAGATTAATAATTTTTATTATAATTTTTATTTATTAATATTATATATATATAATATATTTATAATTTATTTTTTATGTTTTTAATTAATTAATATTTATATTATAGTGTATAATTTTTCTATTTATAATTTAGTTTCAAATATATATTATTTGTAATATTAATAAATTTTTTAATTTTAATAAGTACAAACTTATATATATTATATGTAATTACTTTAATTAATACAAAAAATTATATTTTTAATAATTCTTATAGAATACTAATTTTATATAAATAATAAATAAACTTAAATAAGATACATAATAAAATAAAAAAAATATAGAAAATTTAATTTTTTTGAAAATATAAACTAAAAAAAACTTATTAATTTCATAGTTTATACTAAATATATATATATATGTAAAAAAGGTTTTATTTTTTCAAAAATAAAAACTAAATATAAAATAAATAATAATCATATTTAGAATATTTTATCACTTACTTTATTATTAAGGCATTTCTTAACCATTTACTTAAGTTTACTAACCTTATTAGAAAATTCTTTAAGCATCTTAAATTTAATATTTTTACCAACCATCAGGGAATTAAATTTGCTTTTCTTCAAGCAAACTTTCTATTTTATCACATTTCCAAACTCCACATTTAATAATAGACCCATCAGCATTTAAGAATTTACCATGACCTTCCCACTAATCGTTTTTCCATAAGCCTAAATATTTTAAATATAAATATATTTATATAAAAAAAAAAAAATACCAATATATTATTTCTAAGATCTTCTATAAATATAATGTCCGAAACCTGAGAATTTACCTTTATCGAATTATCCCATATAGATATCCCCGCTTCCGTCACTCTCAGAAGAAAACATGAATTTTCCATCTCCTTATTAGTTATTTTCTATCCATTATCCATCATAAATATTTCCATTCGAATATTTATAAATACCATTTCCATGTCTTTTATTATTAAGGATTTCTCCTTCATATACACCTCCTGAAGGGTAAACGTATTTTCCTTTGCCGCTTTAAATTCCATTAAGCCACTATCCAGTATAAAAATTATTCAGATTTTTTTTATTATAGTAATAAGTTCCTAAAGATTAAAAGTCATTTTCCCATTCTCCCTAATACATAGACTCATCTTTATAATTAGCATTTCCTTTTCCTTATTTCTTATCTCTTTCCAAATCCCCTTCATATACGCTTCCATCATAATAAAACCTGCTTCCATTTCCAGTAATATTATAGTTTTAAAATTCTCCCTAATACATCAAAAAGCTTCCATCATCCAAGCTATATAATTTACAATTTAAAGGTTTATCAATACTCCATAACCCTTCTAAAATTTTATACCCATCCTGGTTATAAAAGATTCCTTTTCCTTCCTTAAAGAAGTTATTTTTAATTTGCCCTACATAATAAGATCCATCATGATATTTAATTAATCCATCAAAAAGTTATCCCTTAATCCATTATCCTTCATATATAGTTCCATCATCTCCAATTAAGGTTCCTTGACCATGAAATTAGTGATTTTAGAAGCCTCCAGTATAACTTCTTCCATTAGGGAAATTCAAAACACCATGTCCATGGTAAAATCCGGCCTTAAATTCTCCTTCATATTTTACTTTTTTTCTCGTTTCAATACCATTTCCGTGTGGTAAATCGTCCTTAAATTCGCCTTAGAATTCATAATCATCATCAATTAATTAGCCATGTCCGGTTCTCAAATTATTTGTGTCTAATGCTCCTTTGTATTTTAATCCAGTCTAAAATACATATACACTTTCACTTAATTATCTTGGTACAATTTTTTTTAGTGTAACTTTTTATTTTAATTCTTCTAATTTTGAATTTAATATATATCCATTTTCATCAAAAAACTTTCAAAATCTTCTACAAACTACAAAAATTGATAAATATCTATTCTCTAATCATTATTGATGTCCATAAAAGTCAGTATTTCTAATATAATATTTTTTATTATTCATTATGAGACTAATTTACATAAGCTTATACGAATTCCTTGTTAGAAACTTCAAATTAATAAGGAAGAATTTATTCCCATAAACTAAAACCTTTCTTTTCCTTTAAACAACAGTACAAATAATTCGGCAAAGTGGAAAAGTTAGTACCAGAAATATTATTTTAAGCATTTCTTAAAGGTTTTATATTGTTGTAAAGTTAGTCAAATTATTAATTACTATTCAAATCGAAAACTAATTATTAATAATTAATAACTCCTTTATCATTGTATTTAGAATCAGATGAAATTAAACTCTTTATAAATTTTAAAAGTTAAGTAATAGTATCCAAATGTTCATAATAAGACATATCTAAGGTAAAACGAGAATGGAAGGATCTAAAATTCTACAAATCTCCATAAAGTCCTATCAAATCAGACTTCACATTCAATATATGAGGTGGAGTAATCATAGTTTTACTAAAGTAGTTTATTATTTGTTCTAGTTCATATATTCTAAAAGTTAAGTTCTTTGCGTTCTCAACAATTTGTTTGAAAGTCTCAGCTTTCTCTAGGGCTAATCTTAAAGTTTTTAATTCTCTTTTGAATTTTTTATCTTTTTTTAAAAAAATAAAATAAAATGTGTAACTATTCATATTATATTATATTTAATTTTTATAATAATTTATATTTATTACCATCTACTTATTATTCATTTTCTTCGTTTTCATTCTATTCTAATTATACTTTAGCATGTATTTCTATATTAATTTTTTGTTGTTAAATTTTTAAATAAAAATAAGTTATTTAAATATATATTTAAATTTATATTTATTTTATCTTTATAAACATACATATATATGCTAATTATATTATTTTTTTTACATTTCTTTTTAAATTAATCGTCCATATTATTTGCCTCTTCATAGCTTGTTTTAGGAGCATGAGCATAATCAATTGCATTTTTATCGTTTGTTGCACAACATTAATTACCCATTTTTATAAATTTTATTTATTTAAATTTTTTTGTTTTGTTTAATTTTATTTGGTAATTGAAAGAAAATATTTTTTTATTTATAAATTAAAAATAAAAATAAAATAAATATATTTTTTTATTACAAAATTAATTATAAAATATGTATCATATCTCAAATTAATTAAGAAATTAAATTAATATTTATTATATAATTTGTTTCATGTATATATAAATCTATATATATTAAATTATTAACACAATGATATTCAGATTATATTTTTTATTTAAAATATAAAGTAGCATAATTATATATATTTATAAAAAATTACAAAATCTAACATATAAATAATATATTTATATAAATTATGAAAATAATTTTAATTATATATACATTAATTAATACCTATAAATTTATTTTTTTAAATATTAATATTATAAAAATTGTTTTTAATTCTTTTAAAATATATAATTATTATAATTATATATATAAATTAATGATAGAAACGAAATTATATATATTTATTGATATAAAAATAAAATTAATCTATTATATTTATATATTAGATTTATAAATATTGTATTATTTTTGAATTATTAAAATATATTCATAATTTATTAAATAAATATGATTTATTTATAATTTTTTTTTTTTAATTATAACATTAATTTTTATTTAATTCATTTTTTTAAAAATGAATCACACATCTTTATAAATATAAATTAATTTAATTATATAAATCAAAAAAAAAATAAAATAAAATAAAAAAATATTTTTTTAAAGATTTTATTATTTTTAAAATAAACTTATTTATTCATTATAATATTATTTTTAGAATATTTTTAAGAATTCATATATATTTTTGTTAATTTAAAAAAAACATTTATTAATTTAACTATGTAATTTTAGACATAATATTATATAGAAATATATAATATATATTATAATAATTTTATTTATATTATTATTATTAAATAAATTATAAATATTTTTTATTTAAAAATAATTTTCTAAAAAAAATATACATAACAAAAAGTTAAAATATATTTTAATTTTCTTTCTTCTCACTTCATTTATTACTAATTTAATCTATTCCTTCTCTTCTATATCAAAATAATCAAATTTTTTTTTCCTTAGCTTAGAAGCATTAAGAATAATTAACACTACTTAATATACACATTTTAGGTAGCAATTTAATTTTTGATTGCTACATATATTGTAAAAACTACCCAGATAATATTTTCGATATTAGAAACGAAAATATAAAAAAATATTTAATGAATGGCTTAAAAAATTTAGCATATTTAATACTAGTAACCACTTTATTGATGTGAAAATTTGTACAAAAAGGATATTTTTATGGTTATTATGATTCGAAAGCTTATACTTAAAATTATGCCTTTATGGCATTATTTGCTTATATGCTAACTTTTGATACTTTGGCTTTATTAGATTATTTAACTTTTAAACATACCTTTCTTTTGTGACCATCCATAAAAAACATAATTCTTTGATTAAACTAACTATATTTTGCTCAAAATAATGTTCATCCTTTCAAAGCTGTAATTTAGAGACTTTTAGTTGTTAATTTTTAAGGATTTAAATTGCGCTATTGCGTATATTTCAACTTGAGATAAGAATAAATTAAATAAAGTTACCATAATGACTATTATAATAATATTTTTCAGATTAATATTAAAAATACGCAGAATATTTTTAAAAATTTAAGGCTAATATAAATAACTTAATTAGAATAATTAAAATTTATATACTTAAATGAGTGCATATTTTTTTAATAAACTATTTTTAACATAAATACCCAAAAACAGAAAAAAAAATTATTTTTTTTAATAAAAAATAAAAAGACTTGATAGCATAAAAAAAAAATTAAAAAATGCATATATTAATCTAATATATTTATTATGTAAAAATAAATATCTGAATCAAAATTAGACATTTTCTTCAATCAATGAATCTTTTTTGTTTTTTTATTAAAAAAAAAAAAATATTAATTAATTATTTATAAAAAATTTTATTTAATAAATATATGTAAATATATATATAATAACATTTAAATGTTATTTTTAGGGTATCTTTAATTTATTTTAATAATAAATAATAGTATTTTTGAATTTTATATTAAAATAAAGAAATCGTATTAAAAAATGTTTATTATTAAAAATAAACATTAATTTAAGTTTATGTAATTTAATAACTCTAAATCTTATATTAGAATATTTAGCCTATAATTATTGAAATATATTCAGCATGCATTAAATAAAATATAAAAATAATATTTTTTTGAATTTAAATATAAACTTTTATAATTTCTATTTAATAAATTAAAATAATTTAAAAACATATATAATATTAATTTTAAAATTCATATTATATATATATTTAAGATTAATTTAAAAATATATATAAAATATTAATATTTATAAAAAATATTATTAATTTAAAATTATGTAAAAAAATTAAGCATTTAATAAAATATATAACTTAATAATTAAATATATATATATAAAAAAATTCGATTTCACGATATATTTAAGAAATAATAAAAAATTTAAATTAATAAAATTGTTATATTTTTTTTTCCTATCGATATATATTTAATTTTATTTAAAAAAAAAATAAGTTATATAAATATTCATTAATCTATAAAAAAAAATCATAAAATAATTTAACTATTGTAAGTTTTTTTGCTCCAATAAACTTATTGTTTTTAAAGATTTTAATCTCTTTTGTTTATTTTATCTTATATTTAATTACAAATATTCTAATACTATTCTCTAAGTTACGGGTTTTTATAAATTTATTTATTTCTCATAAGTTAAATCATTTTTTCTACTGATCTAACCTCCTTATGTTTCATAAAGAATCTAATTCCAACCAGAACCGAAATTTAAGCTACAGTATAAGTAATAGGTTCAATAATATCCCACCCTAGCCAATCAACATGAAATATCATAAAATAGAAACTAGAAATATGTAAAAGATAGATCAAAAAGAGTATTTTAATATAATATTTGATTTATCTTTCTGCCCCATTATCAATATTAGATTTTTTTTAATTGAGTTTTTCCAACTCCTATTCTAAAATATTTAATTCAAATTAAAGATCATTTAATTTTTAAAAAACTGGAAAACTAAAACTCGCTAAACTTTTAATTAACATTTCATCTATTTCTTTTTCCGATAAATTCTTCCCTTTGACTTTTTCTAACTCCTGTCTAAAATTTCTTACAAAAAAGGTTATTACTCCTGCATGAGATGGATGCATTCCTTTTTTAATACAATTCTGATATTCTGCTAATATACCCGCTGGATTGTTCCATAAATTTATTAATGTTTAATTTGCTTAATTATATCCTATTGATTATATTCTATGTTCGCAGTTATTTATTTATATCTTCACTTATAAAGGATATTTACTATTTAAGAATTTTAATATATTTGTATGTTCGTCTACCAATAGAAGCTCTTCTTTTTCTAGTTATTATAATTTATTTTATTTTTCTTGTTCTTCCTCTGTTTTTTTACTAAGGCTTATTACATTTCCTGTATGTTATTTTTACTATTTTTACTATTATTGCACTTTTTGTTTACTTATTTCCTCTTTATTTAAATTCGCCTCTTCAAAATCATATGTTACGTAAAGAGATGGGTCTTCGAGTTTTATTACATCCATTAAGTATTTGAATGTCATTTTTTCATTTAAAAAAAATATTGTTTTATCCTTCTATTAATGAAGTTAGAATTCTAAAGAAAGATGGTTCAAACGAGAGATTACGTTAACGTTCTTTTGTAATTAAGTAAATGAGTATTATTTAAAGAAATTTAAATGAGGAATTTTACAGGATTTGAATATTAATTTAGAAAACATTATTATTAAATTTTTTTTAGTTAATGAAAAAAAAAATAAAAAAATACTTATTTTTATTTTATTTTTGGGGAAAAAGAAAATATTTTCTAATTTATTAAAAAACTGATAAAATAATTATTCTTTTAAAAAAATAAAAAAAATAAAAAGTATATAATCCAATATAACAAAAAATTTACTATTAAAATAACATCCTTAAAAATATTAAAAAAAAAAAACTAGTAAAGAATAAATGTAATAAAAGCACAAAAAAGAATAATTTTAAAGATACATAATGGAAACAAAAGACCTTTCAACATTTCGAAAAGCTAAAATCTAAGAAAACATCATCTAAAAACAACAAAAACAAACTTATTAACTTTCTGACATAAATAAGAAACACCACATAAATATTTAAGAAGATCATATAGTGTAATAAAAAAGAGCAAAAAATAAAATAATAGAAGAAATAGAAATAGAAAGGGCAGATCCTCGTACAATAGACTTAAAATAATAATAACACGCCTAACAATAATTAAAGAAAATTCATAATAAAATAGAAAAATAAGAAAATAACGAAAAGAAAAATACTATATAATACTACGATTCCCTAGAAATCCGTTCAATCAAAGAATTTATGCATTTTTACGAAATACTAAAGTAAAAAAAAGCTGATAAAATAATGGAAGAAGAAAAATAAGTCTTTCGCTTAAAACTAAATAAAATTCGAGAATTAAGGTTTTAATTGAATTCCCGAAAAAGCTCCAAATAAGAATTAAATGCAAGTGAAAAAATCAACGAATTTTCATCAACAATATAAAAAAAAGACAACTTTTTTCCAATAAAAAATAATAATAACAATAACTTTTTTTAAAAAAATAAATAAAAAAATAACACATAATATTTCACTATGAGATAAGCTAATATACAATTAGGTGAATTAACTGAAAAAGCCTAATTTTCTTCTGTAAAAGAAAACACAAGTAGAATAATCAACATGAAAAAAATTTAAAAATCCCAAAATATAAACAATATAATGGACACATGTATTGAAAGGATTTCGAAAAAAAAAAAATAAGGCTTTTCTAACCAAGAAATCACCGAAAATTTTTTTACTTCCAAAAAACTCAAATAAAATTCACTTTTTAATTCTCCATA